CCCCAAAACCCCAAAACCCCAAAACCCCAAAACCCCAAAACCCCTATCTTTAGTTGAGTAATTGAATAATTGTTGAAATCATTATTGAATTCTTCATAAGGTTATCCTTGCTCAGCATGATACTTCTTGATCTCACCTACTTCTTCTCTTCCTTCACTCGCTCTTCCAAATGTTATGAATGATGAATTGTGAACAGCAGACTCTCTAAAGCTATTCCCTGTCTGAGAATCATGGCTCTCCTCAGGCTCTTGCTCTGGTTTGGCATATTTTTGCTCTTCATGTTTTAAAGTTTCCTTCTTCTTAAAAAGAATTGTTTTATTTTTAGGTTTTGACTTATAAGCAGCCAATCTTTGGAATTTTGGTAGCTTTGCTTTTGGCTATGGGTAATTAAAAACTGTACCTTTTCCTGATTCTCTGAGTATTTCATTGAAACAACTCTCTCTTTTTCTTTCTGTCTAAAATACTCCATTGCTCCGGCTGTACTATTTGGCTTACTATACCTATTTCCCACTCTTAAACTTACAAAAGGTTCGCCTTCTTATTCTCTGTAGGTTTCTTGCCAAAAATATTAATTTTTCCACTCCTAAAACTAGTGCCGCCTGCACTTTGCTTCTGTGAGGACTGGTCTGAACCAAGCATGCGTTTGCCAAACCTTCTTTTGATAGTTCTACAGTTCCCATCTGAGTTAATACTCCCTTTGGTTCCTCTCTTCTTCGAATGTCTGACTATTTCAGTGTAAAAATTGACCACCAGGAGACTTATAGTATTGAACGGGGTTTTAAATTTTGAAAATTGGGAAGAATTTAGTGGGATTCTGAAAAACAGCATTTTAATTTAGGGCATGGAGAGAGGGGGTTTAAGTGGGAGAATGAGGTTTGGGGGTATGGAAGGGGGTTTTAGGGGTGTTTAGAGGAAGAAAAGGGTAAGGGAAAGGTTTTAGAGGGGATTTTGGGGGTTTTGAGTGGGATTTTGTAGCTTAGGGGTTGATATTTAGAGAAGTGGATTGGAGTGGTAGTGTATGAAAATTTTTTGAAGGGTTAGGTGAAATAATACTTTGATTTTTAGATGAGAGATGCTTTTGTAGAAGATTATGAATTGAGCTGTTGAGATAGAAGTATGCCGTATTATATAATATTTTGATCCTAAGAATGCTTTTAAGGGTATCCTTCTTACTAATTGGATTGTTGGATGAGATATCAGCTTGATGATTATTTGGCCTGATCCTCTTCTTGGCCTCACCTATACATTATAATCCATGATTACTCCCATAGTTCGAACCTCCTTCTGACATATGTATCTTCCTTTGCATTTTCGTAATACGAGATACTAGCTGATTTTTCGACATTTTATAGAGTTCTGACACATTCTCCTCCTAAATAAAATCTTACACCAAACAAACCACAACCCAGCCCCCCAAGCACTCCTCTCCTTACCTCCTTAAAGTCTTCTACCCCTGATCTCCTATATCTCCAATTAAACCCACCCATTGTAAGACCAGGAATTCGATTTCCAAAAGAAATTTCATTTTCACCAGACCCTAAATCTAACTACCCCGTACTCCATATGAACATATACCTTTTATTTACGATCCTTACTATCATTAGTGTTATAAAAAATATTTTTAAGAAAATATAACCTCTTATGAGGAATCTTTAGGAAGAAATTTTGGGGAAATATTTTGGGTCTTTATTGGGTTAGCCACAGATTAAGTCTGAGGTAAGCTAGTTGTGGTAGAGCAGAGAAACTTAAACGACTAATCACTTTTGGAGCAAAGAGTAGTTCAAGATGAAAGAGAGACCGATTTTATATAAGGGCTCTCCGAAATTATGTATTGTATCTGATAGACTTATTAAAAACCAGGAGAATATCCTTTCAGAATTTTTCTATAGTTTAAGTTTAATAAAGCACCAGAATAAAATTAATAAGATGTAGCTTGCTAAATTAAAAAATTCTTCCTTAAAGATCTGGAGTATCTGCTCCTATTTTACAAAGAAGTTTCTTGCTAGCAAATTTATAAATCATGGTAGACTTTTGTAATTTTTGTCGTTATCAATATCTCCAAAAATGCTAAATCCTCGATCTCCGCAGGTGCAAGATTTTATAATTCGAAATTTTAGAAGTAGCATTTAGTTTTTACAGAGGACGCTTTTGTAAAAGAATCATATGGCTCGTACATGAGCTTCGTCTAAAACACGCACTTGTTACACCTGTTCGTTTCTTTTTCTATGATCATAACTGGCATAGCTCATACCTGAGCTACATCTTGCTAAGGAGCTAGTTAGGGGCTAGGTTTCACCAAAAAATCCTCTGCAATTTGCCTAGATGAGGGACTCTGGTCCCGCATCTTGCGATTATGTATCAAAAGAAATAGCTTGAACAATGAAAGCCCTGTGAGTCAGGTGCCAGTGGACTGGATACCCTACTCTTTAGCCAGGAGAAGCAAAAAGGTTTGCTAAGATTAATCAAGAGTCAAGATACATAAGAAAAGCACCTGGTTGAGGACGATTGTCTGAACTCTACTAGAGTATTACATGAGGCTATTCTGTGCTTGAACGATAAACAGAAGATAGTTCCAAGAAGTTGGAGGATGTTCACCTACTAAGAGGCACAGCTGTTTATTTTTCATAATCTTCAAAGAATTTCATAGAAAATCTAAAATGGGAGAAGGCAGATATACCCTGAACTATTGAAAGTAGTAAGGAGACTGCACCTAAGAGAACTTAAAATAGCAAGTCGTTGATGAAATTTTGTGAAAGGAAATTTGAGATAGGACTGGGAGATACAATTGACCAGGACATTCTAAGACGTCTCGGGATGAATCTAATAGGTCTAACTCATCTAAACCTTGGCTTTTGTCTCACATCCCATAATACTCAATCCATAACCTACCCAACTTTACAATATTCCTGCTCTACTCTCTTAACATGACTCTCTTCTTTCTCTTTCCGTTCACTCCTATATCCTCCACCTTCAATTGCACTACAGAGTGTAAATGAGAGACTTACTCGTATTTTTTGAAGGATTTGTACTGATTTGTTTTGGGCATTTTTTGGTCCTGGAGAAAATTTAGAGGAGAAAAGGGGAATAAGTGGAGGTTAAGGGGGTTTGAATGGAGGTTTTGGGGTAGAGGGTTACCATTGAGCCGTATTCTGGTCGGAGACGGTTGGAGTTGAGGGTTCTTGCAGGAGCTTTTACTTCTACTATTTTGGAAGCAGATTTCTTTGGTTCCACTGGAGCTTTTCTATGAGTCACTGGTGTTGATTCTTCGTTACCCATTTTAGAATATTTATATAATTTTTGGCTAGTGTTGGGGTTTTGGGGTTTTGGGGTTTTGGGGTTTTGGGGTTTTGGGG